CATAATGGATTAACAATTACAATTTAAAACAAATCAGAAATCATTGCAAACTAAATGACAGATGCAAGATAGAGTAGATTCGATGCAGACATAAATCAAACAGATGCAAGATAGAGCAGGCAAGAATAAGCAAGTATCATTTATTCAGTTAACCAATTCTCAATCAATCAGAACAAAACAAGTATTTTCTAGAAATAAAGCAAGTATAATTTTTCAGTTCACCAATTCTCAATCAATCAGAACAAGCAAGTATGAACAAAGTTTATCAATTTTTCCTTTAACCAATTCACAATCAATACACAATTAGTATATGATCATACATAAATAGAAGGGAAAAAAACTTATATGTATCAGTAATACGCAAGCCTAGCTTTCTTCTTTGCCTCTTCCAAATATGCGTGAAATAAAAAGAGAGTAAGAAACTCCTTTTTCCTTTTGCATTTGCCCCGCAGCTTCTGATTTCCCAAATTCAATCATAAATCTCATAGCACAAAGAACCCTAGCCCTAAATTCATCACTTTCTCCATCATCGTCCAATCCAATAACCATCTTCCTTTGTATCTTTGGACATCTAAACAACAACTCAAAATCAACCCAAACTCACRAAKCCCTTTTGATGAACAAACAATCATCTCTCTCCTCTTCAATTTCGTTGAATCTATCTTACCTATACGCCTAATAGTTCCAATTATTCAACCCTAATCTAGCAAATCCTAATCTAACAAATCCCCAAAATACGACAGAAACCCTAATCTAGCAAATCCCCAAATACGACAGAAATCAACGAATAAACTCAGGAAAAAAGAAATCAAACCTCTGAGCACGAGAATTGCGCTTCTCTTCTTTGGTTAACTTCACAGAAACCCCAAACCTCTCCGCACGTCGAATCTTCTTCTGGACATCATCGACCGGATATACATCCCCAAAAGAAGAAGAAGATGCATTGATCGGCGTAAGGATCTCCTCGGCAAAATCGTGGAAGATGAAACGAGAGAGAGAGCGAAGAGAGAAATGTTTCACGCGTTTTCATTAAAGAGAGAAATGTTTTCATTTTCTTTTTATGTTTTTTTTGTGCTTTAAATCTGCTGATGTCACCTGTATAAGAAGAACACAAGAAAACATCTAAATTAAGATCAGGTTTTAGTTGTTCTTACAACATTTCAATTATATTTAATCAAAAAAATACTAAGAACATACACTAAGATCACCCATTGTACATGCTCTTAGGGATCCAAAGCTAATAGCCAACCTAACGTCGCTTTGTTCAGGCCATCTAACGAAATCCCTTCGCCTTTCTAGCAGCCACTATAAATCGACCCTTGGTCGATGAGATTCTTCCGATCTCTTTAAGAGGAACGTGCTTACGCAAAGAGAGAGATCCATATAAATGCTCTGATTCTAACCAAAATTCGAGGGTGATATGCCAAGCGACGCTGTCAAAGAAGAGAAAAAACTTGATGAGAGAGAACGTCTAAGTGACAAATATGGCCTTCGTACCGAGAGTAATCTCGCCGACATAACATACCATAACTGGTGAAAGCGCTTTACAAGTACGTGAAGGTTGTGCGGTTTCAACATTGTTTCCTACTCTTGAGGAGAGTGAGATTTTAATTCATTGACATGTCTTCACGTTTTGTTTATACTCTTTATGTTACCTCCTGCTTTTTTTTGGGTGCTTTTTATTGGATTCTCTCGATTTTGTGTATTCTTAATTTGGATCATTTTTAATCTTCTAGGTCTTTCAATTATGTTATATTATATATTTTGGGATCTCAGCTCTTGTGTGTTAAAGAAGATTAGTTACATGTGGTAGGTTCATAGATTTTTTATAGTGCTGCCTCATTCTTAACTTCCCATGCTTCTTCTACAGGTGCAAGTGGCTACAGAAGCAATGATGGTATATTGCCGATAATGGAGCGTCTTTGAGGTTGATATCAAGGTGTGGAAGAAGGGTCAAACGAATACTGTTTTGGAGATGAAAAATAGCGGGTCTTCTCTTGATGCTTCTATCTCGAACACCCTAATAACAACTACTCATATATAAAAGAACAACGAGTTTTGAGTTTCTAAAGAGGTCATTTTCTATGGTTTTCATGAATATTATACCCTCATCTTTACTTTCTATTGGCTTAGAGTTTTTCAATGCGATTATATGTCCCTTTTTGCATTTGATTTTATCACACTTGAAATTAGATGGAGGAGGCATCAACTAACAAGAGGCAACCAGACCTCTTTATATAATCTCCAATTAAAGATCCTTTGTTAGGGTAAAAGCAGAGGTTGGTGAGTTATATTAATCGAAAGTTTTAAGTTTGGCTTGTGTACTTAATAGCGGATTTAGTTTGTATTATTCACATGCAGAGCAATATACTAGTAAAGAAATATGCGGAAATTATGCTATTTCTTGATGCTAAAGTAACTTCGTCTCTAATTCTGATCACTATGAGAAGACAAAGCAATTATTTTATCATAGTAATATGCCATGATTGGCAGTAAATCTATTATGCATACTTCGTGAAGCTATTTGTCTTGTTTATTCGTATCAAAGTTTTATTGGTCTTTGTCTAACATTGCTTGGTGCATTTGTGGTTGTTGTCACCGTGTGCAGAATAGTCCTCGGGATGCCGTATTTTTGGGGGTCAAACAAATGTCAATAAAATACCAAAGAGCATCTACAATCATAAGCAATGACCAAAAGGAGCAACCCACTTAGAATTGAGGTCATGGATTCAAGGCTTCAGATTCAGGCAAGATGTTGGAGATGGAAATTAGAAGAGTTTTGCAACTTAAACTCAGAGTGGATCTCAATGATGGAGAAGTCTCTGATGAAGATGTTGGCGAGCTGAAACATAGGGTTTAACTGACCTTGTAAAGGGAAAGTAAATAAAAATATCATACCGTGAAACTTGTTTTCATTTTGACTTTGATGTATGTTTATTTGACTCTCCTTTCAGTTAAAATGTTAAGCTTTATTTGCTTCAAACTACCATAATTTTAAATAATCTTTTCACTCTCTTTAACATTACATGTTTATAAGATCTAACAAAATTTCCAAATCTCCACAAACATAGTCTATGTTCTTCTATTGTTTGTCTTTAGGGTCATATATATTTGATATGTCCCTACCTATGTAGCTCTCGATTTCATGGGATTATCTAAATTTTGCATGTGAACTTTGTGAAGATTTTGCTTCAAGTTCCAAAACAAGATTCGAACAAGTTACTGAGGGGACGAGGAGTGCGTTGAGAGATCTTGAGATGAAGGAAGAACTACTATCTGTTCGAAGTTAATATGACCCTAAAGTTTATTTTGGTTTTAAACTGAAAAGATATATTGAGAAGTAGTTGATACCTAACAAACATTGATCGGCATGATTGGATTATCTCAAGTCCAAATCATAAAATCGATAGACAAAATCTACTCGCAGTTCACTTGAATTCTATTGAGATAACGACTAAAGTCGATAAGGCTAATTATGTTTCTATTCTATGTTTATCTCTAACTACTTAGATCCTAATTCTTAGGAGATTAGGACTTTCCATTCTTTGTATAAATACTTCTCTTTGAACATCAATACAGGAAGGCTTCTATACAATATTTTATGGTATTAGAGACAAAAGAGATCCTAAAGTAATTTTTTTTTTCTTCTTCTTCATCAAGCAAACGTGATTGTCTTGATTTCTAAAACTCTTCTA